CAGCAAGTATTGTAGTCTGACCATGGAAGACGATACTCGATTTGCCATTGAAGAAGATCCATCGAAGATCCATCGAAGATCCATCGAAGAATTCATCCAACATCTTTGAAAGGAAGAGAATCCATGGTTATATCTATAAAATAAAATAGAACAAAACGATAAGTTATCTAGAATATTATCAAAAATCATATAAAATAAAATTGAATAAAATGTAAATAAAAATGAATACTTACAATGCATTCCAAGGAGATGCAGCTCTATTGCACCATGGTGATGCACCTCGCGTGAATTTAAAAACGCGGTATGAACGAAAATAAGAAACTATAGATGAGTTTCTTATCGCGAAACCGAAATTTTATTATACGACGAAAAACACTGACTCTATAATTCGCGTTTGATTTTAACTTATTACACGCCCGATCACTGATTCTACAACTAATTCAAACACTGCATTGCACGCAGTCAAATGCAAGAACAAAAATTTCACTCCCGGTCACTTCACATGGGCCATTCGGTCTAAAACACCAACCTGTAATAATGCAATTGTTTCACGCACGATTGAAATCTGAAATAGAAATAAAAAACAATACTATTAATATCACTACTATTACAGAAAACCATTAAAATTCTTATGGAATTATTTAATACAAAAATATACTCACTTTGATGAATGCACGATGATTGCACGATGGGTCTCCTACCCTTAGGATGACGATGGCACACGTTTAAACCACATAAAAGAAACTTGCGAGTTTCTTAACCGAGCAAACGAAACTTTAACATGCGACGATCAACACTGAATTTACTTGTCGACTTTTTTATATTTTATTTTAACACGATGCAACACACGAGTATTTCATTGCCTACGCGCACGATTGCAATGTTCTGAAACAGAAAAAGAAAAAGAACAATTAATGTCATTGTCGTAATAAAAACCTATTGAAATTATCATAGAAATGCTTGATAGTAAAACATACTTACTTTTAGTCTTCGTTGATGACTGCAGGATGGGTATCCTACCCTTAGGATGACGATGTATAAAATAAAATGAAATAAAAAGTCTAAAAAGCTGAAACATACTAAAGATTATATTACAATATTTCCTGTAAATCATTTCTGAAGGCAGAACACACGTTATAAGATACTATATCATAAAGAATCAATGTTAAATATAATTTAATAAAGTGTAACCTAAAAAGTAAATCGTTTTTTATACCATTCAATCTAATGCAAATCTTTTTAAAGTATTAAAATTTACACGATAAGGTTAGAAATCAAATTATTCAATAATTTACTATGTGTGTAGTTACTTTTGACGATCTTAACGTGTCGAAAGACGAAAAGGGAAAGAGATACATTACTACGTTTAACCTTGGTAGTGCCGAACTCTCGGTGCTCGGTACTCGGGTACTCGGTGCTCGGGGGTGCTCGGGGGTACTCGGGTGCTCGGGAATACTCGGGTATTCGATGCTCAGTGCTCGGTACTCTGTTGTTTTCTTTTGTTTTTAACTGTTTCTTTTTTATTTTCATCTCGAGAATTTCCTAGAAATTTATGAATACATTTGACTACCTAGAAGTCGAATGTTTCCATTTATTTTCTTTCTTTTGCTTTAAAATAAAGAGATAGACATACCTCGATAGTTTAGTCATTATCCCGATGTAAAATGAAGCACACTTCTTAGATTGAGTATATGTATTCATATTGGATTCTCCCAACGCTCGGAAAACTAAAGTAAGTAAGAAATAAAATTACGTTAATACAATATAAAGAAAATCAAATATATGAGTGTACGTATACGAGTTACCTATACTTATGTATATATGCCTATATGTATGTGTGTATGTGACAGAAATCAAATTTAATACGATATACGATTTTTGAAGACATAATTATGAAAAATAATTAATTGGAGCATCATTAGAGATGATAAAAAGTATTGATACCATAAGAAAAAGATGAAAATTAGACGAAATATTATAAGTTGGCCTTGATGAGATATGGCGGGAAGCCGAAAAATGTCGACGATTATATTTTCACGGATANGTGTATATATTGATTATCATATTTGCTTGAAGAATCTTATAAATAAATGAAATATCTATAAACTTTTGTTGTACACAAAAAGAAAATTAATTTCTTTTTTTTTTTTTACAAATTTATCTCTGAAAACAAACAAAATATATATATATATATATATATATATATATATATATATATACATACAATTAATAAAATGCGCTTGAATTTTTCTTTGGCACTTTATTAATTCAAAGTAACAGTGTGCAAAATGTTATATACAAAATTTCTAAAATTATATGGCGTAGAAAAAGAACACCTACGACGACCTTCACAAAAATGAAATATAAAATTAATATTAATAATCCAATCGCATAATATTGTATATTAAATTAATATTAATATTAATATTAATACATATGTATAATTAAGTAAAAATTAATAGAAGAAAAATAAATTGTGAAAAGAATCTAATTAATTAATTATTCGATTGTTATTCAATAAATTCTGAAAATAATTTCTATTAGTATAAAAAAAAAAACAATTAATAAATTATATATGTATAATAAAGAAATCATCTCTCTGTCACTTTTGCATCGGATCGAGACACCCATTTGCAATAATAAAATAATTATATAATAAATATTAATCATACAAGAAAAGAACTTAGTGTTAGAGAATTATAGCACATTATTAATAAACTAATTGTATCGACCGTAATTAATTCGATATTCAACTAATGAGTAATCCCTTACTTCACAGGTAAAAATTATTGTCGACTTTAAATATAAAAAAAAGAACATAGAAAAAGAAATATAACAATATATATATATATATATATTGAAAAAAAAACGTGTTAGCCGACTCTACCTATTACTCAATTATTTAACACATAATCATCTAAATAATATTAAACAATACTCAGTGGAAGAGATCCAACTTTAGTGATTAATACTAGCAAATAAATTAATCACGGACATAATTACGGTCACATATACAATATAACGTTAGATCTAATCTATTGTAACAAACAATATAATAGAAAGTTTTTTTTTTTTTTTTAACCACTATATTAAAGACTACTACAAGACAGATTTTGAAGAAAAAAAAACAAAAGACATTTCTCACAAAAAACCAAGAGAATAAAATTGACATTATTTCTTTCACACACTCTCTCTGAACGAACTATTGCACGAATAAATATGTAAAGTACATATATGAATTACTGCACTTGATCATCTCAAACGAACATTGAATAAATTAAATACGTCAGACTAATGCAGGAATGATCATCAAAAATATGAGGTATATCAAAAAAAAAAAAAAACCTTTTGACAAAAAGGATTTCATCAAAGCACCCTCTCTTTCAAATGGTATTTCACTACAGCTTAGTCTATCAAAAAATACAAATGTAATCTAAAAATCCTATTAGAAAAATTAAGAGGCACCAAAGGTATTATACTTCCCTATACTTCTTCTACAAATTGATACACAACAGTATGATACTCAGTCTGCCAATCATTGTCCTTAATAATACTTCTTTTTGTATTTGCGATATTTTTCTTCTTCGGACTGTCTGCGCATCTGACTTAGTAGAGCAGTTGGTACATACCATAATTTATCCGAATAATTAAGTAATGATTCTGTAACCCTACAACATATGGCAGCCATATTAACTTGAGCATTTAAATCAGAACGATCACTAGGATGCACGTAACGTGGTGGAAATAGTGATGGTGCTACTATCATTGCCACGTTATGTATTGACATCTTATTCGAATTCTGATTATCTATAACCAATTTCAAAAAGGTTAACAATGCTTTTAATGTGCATTTATGCTCCGTTGGTAGAAGTAGCACCAATAAGTTTAATGAATATGATAAATCGTTAGGATTTTTTATTTCTAAAAAAAAAAAGAAGAAAGGAAATGAAAATTTTTGTAACATTATTAAATGTTATTGTAATATCGTAATATCATTGATATATATTATTATCAAATTATTTTACCATGAATTTGGTAAAAAGCATCCATAAGTTCCACTGTAAGAAGTGGTTGAGGTAAGTCACGTAATAATTTTTTAAGAATAGCTGACAAATCATGACATGGTATACGTTTAAATAACTTATCGATTTCCTTTGGCTTGCTATAAAAATCTGTTTCTAATTCTGTACATATTAGCTCAACCTAAAAACAACGAAATTATAAAAGCATTAATACAAATAAAAACAATGTTTTATTTATTAATATTGATACCTTCTGTTTATGACCACCAACTCTAAGAATGCCTTCTTCCTTAACTCCACGCTTGGACAATTCGTTGAGTACTTTTTGAAATACTAAAGGAATGTTACTTTCTTCGTTTGTTATCTGGCTATCCCTGAGTAATAAAGTTGACAACGATACACCAAATAAATTACCAGCTGAAATATGATGATATATACAAAATATGTGAATGATTTCTACAAGATATAGATTTGGAGTAATATAATATTATTCTATAAATTAAAATGTCAATAAAACAATGCAAACCTTTTCTCCTACGTTTGTTTGGTTTACGCTTTTTAAGAGGTACATTATATTTATCAAAAACTGCGGTGAGTTCAAGCCACAAGAGTGGTTGCAATCGTGTAAAATCACGTTGAGATAACGATTCTATACGTTGTCGAGGAAAACCATCATCAATTGGAAGATTTTCTGTCACCCATACTTGTGACTTGTTTTCATTTGTCCTGCACATTTGTTCAAAACTCAAATGACCATGTGAAGAAGTACGGTTCAATGGATGAGATAATAAATTCTCATCTTTAGAAGGTGATAAACCATATAAACTACTATGACTCCTAGAAACAGTTGCATGGCTGCCTGAAGCTCTTCTAAAGAAGAAAAAAAACATAAATGCAAAGATAAAATAATGCATGCAGAAAAAAAAAAACTATATGACTGCACATTTAAAGCTCTGTATATTAAAGAAAATTACCGCAATGTCGAATCTTTAGAAACTGTTAATTTTCCGATATTTTCAATATCTAAATTTTCTGTATTTGCTACTTCACTAGGATCGCTACCACTACGTTTCTGAATAGGTGGTCTAGAAAGATGTATTGTTCCTAATCTGTGATAGCCAGTCAGTTGAATACCTTCTGCAAGTACATGCAGTGTTTTAATTGAATTGACCACAATTCATGCAGCAAACAACAAAGCTGTTAAAGAAAAATCAATTTTAATATACCAGAATCATTAGCAACATCTCCTTTAGAAGAGTGACCAGTACGTCTAAAGATTTCTTGAACATGAACAGAAGCATTTGTCACAGCATTTGCATTCGTTGATGGTGCACTTGGTGTTCTTCTAACAGTCTCCTTTCCTTCATTTGAAGAACGATGAAATATTGATACAAAACTGGGAATGTTACCACTAAAAATACCCATAACTTATATTACATTTAATATTCAATATTTATCATGGTATTAGATTAACAATAATTAACCTTGTTTGATGATCAATTACAGTTATCGATGGTTGTGAAGGAGGTGAAGCACTTTCTGGAGTTTCACCCAGAATAGAATCTAACGAATCAGGTGTAGCACTTCTTGATCTTGTACCTGTACTGGAAATCTATTCAAACACATATTCTTGTATGATGATCTAAATATGACAATTATTTAGAATCTTTAAATAAATATAAATAGAACTTTTCTAACCTCTACATCTTTGAACACATCCCTAATATCTGGTTTCCTTACACGTTGTCTTTGATTGAAACGTTGTTTAACAGTATGATTGAGAGATTTAACTCTTCTTTTTACAGCTTCTGCTTGAGCTCTTGAAAGAGGACGTAAAGCAGCTCCTAATTCTTCTGGTTGAACTTCTCTACCTGCTTTCCATGCTTCTGTTAATTCTCCTAATCCTGCAGCTCGAAGCCATTCTGCTTCTTCTTCACCATCTTAAGATGTACAATACATTAAAAACAAGATCTTTATTGAATAATATACTATATTAACTCTGACAATATATCAAATGTATGTAAATATAACATACCATCATAAGTTCGTGGACATTCTTCATCAAGATAATCATCTAACATTTTAGTTTCCTCAATCATTTTCTGATATTCTTCCCAATAATCTAATAAATGGGAATCTACCCCAATATAAGTAGCACTTTGTACCTTATCCATGATTTATTTATTTTGTTCACTCTTTTGCTATATTTTATATTCAATATATAAATATGTGAAAAAAAAGAAAAGACAAAATATATTTTAAATGTTTCATCCACTTTTCATTTTCAATACCTGAAAAAATGATAAACTTTAGTATCTACCTTTTGCATTATTCACACACTCAAAAGCAAATCAAAGCATGATTAATAATGAATAAAAATAGATATTTCGTTAATTCAAAATAAATGACAATAGATAACAATTGACACACATCATAAATACAAAGAAAATTACATTTTTGAAATAACCATTTGAAAGAAAAGATTTGACTTAATAAAAGAAGAAAGAAACAAAAAAAAACACGTAGTTGTAAAGTGTAAAAATAGTATTAACTGACGTTGACACGTTCTCCCATTGATTATTCATATTGAATGTAAACACAGATGAAATATACAATTAACCAAGGCCATTTCTTTTTTTTGTTTTCCTTAAACACAGATAAAATTCTAAAGCTTATTTTAACCATAACTCAACGGAATATAATAAATGATCAAATGAAATACTTTAGTTGAATTTATAAAAAGAAATACAATCAATATAAACAATACACATACATGACAATAAATGCAACACAATATCAGATGCCTAAACATTCACTTTAAAAAGAAGAAAATAAAATAAAATAAAATTAAAAAAAGAATTTAAAAAAAGTGATGAAGCATAACATAACCTTGACGTCCTACTGTTATTCTTATTATGACAATATGTTCGTGCATAGAGTAGTACGTACGTATGATTTGAAATAAGATTCCCTCTGTCGGTATTTCGAAGATGCAACAATAATCATCATATTCCGGGAAAATAAAATTTCACGTTGATCGTCTACGATATAATAATATTGATTTGACGCGTTAAATGATAAATAAAAAAAGCTTCATTATCGGATGATATTTGAAATAAGTAAAGGTAATATCTTATACGTAAAGATATACTATGAGTAACATTTAACAACTACGACGACGCGTCCGTGAAACTTTTAACGTAAGCGCTAACAATTTCTCGAGGCTATCTACTTCTTAGAAATCGTAATTTATTCGAAACGCGTCTTCGAATTACGCCCAATGCTATGAAAATCACTGGACTTTATCTATGTTGATTAAAACGATATATAAAATTAATTGAAACGAATTAATTTTAATTAATTATTATATTTCCATTTTATTTCACATGAATGATCTAATTCACTCCATTGAAAAAGAATGTTTTCTAATAACAAATTATAATAGATCTTTCATAACTATCGATCTCGAAGGATCATTTTTAACTAAACGATAATGCGAGATCTAGCGTTTTCTATTTGCACTTAATGCACAGTACGACGGATGTACTTCTAATTTCAACATACCGGAAATAGTTATTGAAACGTGAGATAGTTGAAGAGAATTGAGAAAGAATTCTAACATTTTCCCATAGGAATGTTCATCCTATACAAGTTATTTCACTATATTTATAAAAAAAAATTCAAGTATAAATGTATTAGTTGTTTCTTTACTTCTTTACGTATTATTTGTTTTCTTTTTTTTTTTTTTTTCACGAGAAATAACTATTCAAAGAAATAATCACTTAGGTATTAAAGATCAATCAAATCAAATGACTGATTTCTACATCTACTGATATTTTATACTATTTACTTTTTCTAAATTTATCAAACATTACATTTTTTTATCATTTTTCTATCGCACTCTATGCTATCGACGTTCGATAATTAACCGATCACCACAGTACTATATTACCGATAAAAATTATTATTAGAATTAATTAAAATATAAATAAAATGAGAGAAAATGTCACTGATCAGTTGGACAATACCGTTTATTATAATTTTGTTATATGCAAATAATATCGATAACCAGAATCTCATTGCATAAAAATGACTGCGTACGATGATCCAGGATTCAATTACTAATTCCAAAAGAAAAGAAACTTTATTGACATTTTATTGACAATAAAAAAAAAAAAATTGATTTTTGTGTCTGGGCTGCATTTAACGAAGGTCATTTATGCACACGATGAAACGCACAAATTGAGAATTTAATACGTAATACTTAAAACATTATAAACATAGTTTATGAATACAACGTGAAAAGAATACGAATTAAGAAACTTGTTAGAAATCATTCTATACGTTAGCTGTGTGTTTTTCTTGCATGTAACACAATGCATATTTAACATTACTTTATTATCGAAGAATTATTTATTCTCATGTGACGATCGATTGAGAAATGTTTTTATGTCCTCAAACAAAGAAGAACAATTTTTCAAATAAAAATGAATTTATTCGAGAAAATAATATTTCTATGTTAGGCTTGACAACTTATAAATCCACTCACGTATATTTTATTATTTTATCACGAGTTAAATTTATTTATCGAGATATTTATATCTATTATTTTACACGATTTATTTAAAGAATACAAAACCTATCCATATGTCGACGCAATCATATGGTGAAATTTACAAAGTAATGTTAATTAAATAAGCGTAATATCTAAGGTTGAGACTGAAATAACGTCAACACATGTGATATAATCTTTCAAACATATTTTAATACTCGTAATATTTATATATATATATAATTTATATATAATGTTATTAAGATGAAATATATTAAATCAAATCATTTTTAATTATCTAATATTAGAATATTTCTTTTTACGTTACGTTAACTAGATACAAAAACAAACAATTCATTTATCATTTACAATTATTTATTATTTACAAATAAAAATTTAAAAACATATGTTTAAAAGATTATATTTTTCCATGTCATACATTATCATCAGTACTGTCAATTCTTGGAACTTGGCAAAAAAAAAAAAATTCCACATTGCTACAACACATATTCTAATTGTCTCTTTCATTAGCAAGTATTTAGTTCTGTAGATGAAAATTTTCCACTTTCAAATACAGGAAGCATATAACTTGAAAATAATTCTCAAATAGATAGAAGTGGGGATGGTGTTAATGATGAATCTTTGAGCATATAAATGTGTGTCAGCAGAACGAATAATCATTTAGTCAAAATGTTATACTCCAGTGAAAAATATGGTGAGCCCTTAGTGGCTACAATCCGATTGTTTTCTATATTAATCATTATTCTGTGTTTGTCGACTGAAATAATCACTATACCTACACCTACGCAAGATTATCCAAATTATACAACAGACAATTTAACTGAATTGGCAGAAAATACGACGAATGATGACTTGTAAGTAAACGTTTGAAAAATTCTATAAGAATTATTATAATGAGAAATAATATTATATTAATTATTAATATTTATTAATAATAATGAGATAATATGTAATATTAATATTTTAGATACATTATAAGAGCAGTAGTATACGAAATTGGAGTTTTAACGGATACTGATAACACCACCGATGAAAATCCAGAAAGGTATAATATAAGTATAATTATCATTAATTTATATATATATATATAAAAATATAATTCTCTAAAGATTGTTCTTTAATTTTTGTCGATTTTTTATCAGACGCGAAGAAGTTAATATTTCAATATACAATCCACCACATCAAGATAATGGCTTGTTAGATTTGAACAAAGTCCCAATATCAACTGAGAATACTTTAAATACAGAAGAAAGTACTGAAGAAACATAATATAATATTTGTTAGAAAAAATCATTTCCATTAATAATATGCAGTAAAATGAAGAAGACCAAACATACATATATATATATTTATATATTTATTTATACTTATTTATAAATATTCCTTTAACCATGTATTGTTTCCTTATCGTTCGCTGACAAAATTATTGAGTAAAACAAAAATAATATATGAAAAATGTAATTACTTCACTGTGTGCCTACAAAACATAGATCGTAAAATAGATCCATGCAGCAATAATGGAAACTGTTGACCAGAAATATATATTTTTATTCTTTTAAATATTGTATTAATAAATATCTTTCTAATCTTTGATACATTATTTGATAATAAGTTATTTACAATATGATTCAAAATTATATAAAATAAACTGTAAATAAAAATTGATACTAACAATGAATTTATTCCAACGGGGATGAAGCTCAATGGCACCATGCTGATACATTTCTAATGAATCTAATAACGCGATATAAACGAATATAAGAAACCATAGATAAGTTTCTTATCGCGAAACCGAAATTTTATTATACGGCGAACAACACTGATTCTAATTTGCGTATATGTGTGATTTTAATTTATATTATACACCAAATCACTGACACTACAACTACTTGCAAAGGCAGCTTTGCACGCAGTCAATTGAAGCAAACAAATTTCACACACTGAAAAAACTAGCAGACGTAATACGTTTTTCTAATAATTATATAACTTCTATAAGATATATATATCTTATAAGAAACAAAAATTCCAGATGAAACAATTATTATTTTTATCTTTGGAATATAAATTGATTTTTGTTATAGAATAATTACATTTAATTTTTAATTTATAAAAATGTGTGTGCCTTCAGAAATGCATTTATATATATAAATATATTTAAAAAAGTAGTCATTTAAGGGATTCAAATAGAAGAAAATCTAAAAGGTTTGTTGTTAAATCCAACGATGATCACCTGTAACAGAAAGAAAATTATATTAATCATATAATCAAGTGAGATATAATAGCCTGACATAGAAATCGTCAAATACGCAGATGCACTTTTCAAATTAAATTCTCTATTTATTTAAAAAAAAAAAATCTCTATTTAACGTTGCAATAAAATTAAGTTTAAACGCGTGATTTTACATTTATAAAAGATATAATACAAAAAGTAAAACTACAAATATTAAATTACAAAAAAAAAAACAAAATAATAACTATTAATTATTATGAAATAAATTTAAACTGTACTGTATAGAAAAGAACGACAATTACAAATTTAACAAAATATTTAATAAATATTTAATAAAAAAAAATCTTAAAGACAAAAAGAATAAGGAAATGTAAGTATTTTGACTCGAACTAACTAAACAAATGTGCATCTTTTTAACGATATAGGCACAAATTTGGTGCCCCAAGGAGATGGAATGGTCCATCATCTCCAATTACAATTATAAATTAATGACGAGCAAAAGAAAAATACAATAGAATATAAAATATGACTAGAGAGTCATTCTCTAAAGGTTTCAACTTGCTGTTGAACCTTTGAAAATAACTCAATAGCCTGTAGTTGCCCTCTTGAGCCACAATTAAGTGGGGGCCTCTTCGGCATTAAGCCTCTTCTTTCTTCATTCCATGGAAACTGCATTTGGACATTTTCTATGTGCGAACAAGATAAGATCTTTCATATTAATTTTGCAAATAAGCTCGTATTTTCTTATGATTCTAATTCTAAATTATTACAAAAGTAATTAACATTTCCCGTTCACTTTTCTAACTCGTGGACCATCAATGAGCTTAGAGCTCATTGACCATACACGAGAACATTTAATCGAATGTCCAAGCAGATAATAATTTCCCTCGATGACCTAATAACACTTCGCACTTTTAACGTCGAGTAAAAAATCGAATTGATATAAATAGTGCAATAAATGTAATGCATTTTCTTGCAATACTTTCATTTCATTAATTCGTTATATTTAATTATATCAAAAATATTTCTAGGTGTAAGAGGAAATCGCGATAGTGCGTAGTGCTAATCCTGAAATACTTAAAACTAAGTATCAAATGCATCAAAGAATTTGCGAATTTGATTCGACTCTATCTCGTTTGAGATAAAATCGAAGTAGAAATGAATCTTTCAAATGGTTGCAAATACCTTTGAATCATGATACATAATAAAGATCACAGAATAGTTACAAAATAAATTAACAAATCAAGCATAATAGAATGAAATGATCAAATTTTGTAACAATTCTGTATAAACCAGGAAGCGGAATTTCCACTCCGGAGTGGAAGTAAGAAGTCTAATGCCTTTCCTGGATCCTACCTACTTAAAATTAAAGTTTTCACATTCATTCAGAGAAGTATGCTACCTGCCTGCCTATTATCCATATTTTTACCCATTTTAAGAAAAAACATACATACCCACCCACTCACTCCACGGTTCTCTCACATACCACCAGGGTGCAAAAGCCTAAACTAGAGAGCATGCCCCGGGRCACCTYCGAYACCCTAGTTCAACCACGTTTTCTAAACTTATATGCTAATGGGTATACGTACGTTTTGCTGAAATCGACTGCCAAGGCTAATGATTATTGCATAAAAAACTAAAGCAAAAATACAAGTATACACTAGTATATATGTATGAATACTAGTAATATACAAGTATATCAAAGTTTCCACAAATAAATGCAGTAACTCTACTATGCAAACGATTATCAAAAAGATTAGAAATATTTAATATAAATATAAGAATGAAGATAGATATGTAGAAGTAATGCTTTAAGTATTTAATGATGTATTAAATGAATAAAAAAATATCGCGTAACGATGTACAGTACACACTACCTAATACGCACACACAGGTGTAAAGTACATCGTGCAATCACTAGCACAATAACAGTCGCCAATAGGGGAAAAAACTAAAACTAAACCCACGCTAACTGTTTCTCACCCATACGTGTAAC